CCGACAAGATGTGCTACCCGTTTCTTACATCCTTTTTTAGCATAGTAATTCATTCTGAAGAAGCTCATATCGTTAGATTAGACATGACAGGTTGAACTAGGTGGCACATCCCAAGTGGGTAGGACATATCGTCAGAAAACTGGTTGATGAAACTATCATTGTTGGTTAAATGAAGCTCAACAGCCACCAACAGGCCTATTATGTATATCATGTAAGCCAGGGCTGTCCAAACTTGGTCCTGGAGGGCCGGTGTCCTGCAGAATTAAGCTCCAACTTGCCTCAACACACCTGACTGGAAGTTTCTATGCCTAGTAAAGAGCTTGATTAGCTGGTTCAGGTGTGTTTAATTAGGGTTGGAGCTAAACTCTGCAGGACACCGGCCCTCCAGGACCGAGTTTGGACAGCCCTGCACTAGAGTATCATGTATGCATGCAGGGACCGATTATGAACAGTGCTCTGGGCACGGACCGATTTAAAGGCCCCCCTCGGTTGAAATCGCGTTCCGGGGGGACCGGTATTTCGGCTGGGCCCCCCTCTGGTCTAGTGCCGGGTAGGCCCGTGCGTTAATCCGTCCCTGTGTGCATGTACAATGAAATTCGAAGACAGAAAACGACGTTGGGTTGTATTGGACTCACATCAGCATGTTTGAACATCTCATGCATGTTGATGCCCTCTGTGTTGAGCACCATCTGTTTTTTGCCCTCCTTTATGGTGACTTCATTTAACAAGCAGCGCGTGATACCCTTGGTCTCCATGATGACAGCGTTCTGAGCCTGCTTCACCACCACTGACGTGAGGTCAAAGTGCACTTTAGTGAGGGGTAGGACCATGGTTAGCTGTCAAACAGAAGCAGCAATGCATTATGGATATGAATGCACCGATACCATTTGCTGTAAAAACACAGCTTTGGTTCCATATGGATACTTGTTTGACTAATGTTTTTTTTTTTTATTACATTACACACACATAAATATATATGCACTACCATTCAAAATTTTGGGGTGGGGAAGATTTTATAAATGTTTTTGAAAGAAGTCAAAACACGCTCATAGTTAAATATTACCACTATTAAAATAACTTTTCTATTTTAATATATTTTAAAATGTAATTTATTCCTCTGATGACTGAATTTTCACAGCAATTACAGTGTCACTTGATCCTTCTGGAATCATTCTAATATGTTGATTTGGTGCTCAATAAATATTTCTTATCATCAATGTTGAAAACAACTGTGCTGCTTCATATTTTAATGGAAACCTATGATGCATCTTTTCTTTGATTAAATGTTAAAAATAATTAAAAAAAAAATCTTACTGACCCCAAACCTATGAATGGTGATGAAATTCTGAAACTTATTTCACAATTTGTTTAATCGAGTATAGTTCAAATATTAGCAGATTAATGCATCGGACCGATATATTGCTTTATATACACTACCGATTTTTAATGTTTTTTACAGGAGTTTCTTATGCTCATCAAGGCATTTATTTGATCACAAATACAGGAAAAAAATTTCATATTGTGAAATAATTATGATGTAAAATAACGTTTTTCTATTTTAATATACATTAAAATATAATTTATTCCTGTGATGCATAGCTGAATTTTCAGCATCATTACTCCAGTCTTCAGTGTCACATGATCTTCAGAAATCACTCTAATATGCTGATTTATTATCAGTGCTGGAAACCTTTCCTTTTTTTCAGGATTCTTTGATGAATAAAAGGTTAAGAAGAAGAGCATTTATTTAAAATAGAAATCTTTTCTACCAATATACACTACCGTTCAAAAGTTTGGGGTCAGTAAATTTTTATTCTTTCTTTTTTTGAAAGAAATTAAAACCTTTATTTAGCAAGGATGTGTTAAATTGTTAAGTGATAGCAAAGATTTATATTGTTAGAAAAGATTTATATTTTGAATAAATGCTGTTCTTTTAACTTTTTATTCATCAAATTCCTGTGAACAGAGGAGCCAGTCAGATCTCCAATGAAACACACACTGCTATGCGTGTCAAACAATCCTGTTCTGCTTTATTACCATAGACAGCAAACACATCTTTAATCTCCTTCTCAATGACTCTGAGGGCCACCTCAATACCGTACGTGCTGGCCATAGCATGAACCTCGTTGGAGTATAACCTGTTCAAGTCCAGGATCTAGTACAACAAAACAGATTGTATTACATGCCATATTTGGACAGCTGATATACTATTAGCAATACACTAGAGCAGGGCTGTCCAAACTCGGTCCTGGAGGGCCGGTGTCCTGCAGAGTTTAGCTCCAACTTACCTCAACAGACCTGACTGGAAGTTTCTATGCCTAGTAAAGAGCTTGATTAGCTGGTTCAGGTGTGTTTAATTAGGGTTGGAGCTAAACTCTGCAGGACACCGGCCCTCCAGGACCGAGTTTGGACAGCCCTGCACTAGAGTATCATGTATGCATGCAGGGACCGATTATGAACAGTGCTCTGGGCACGGACCGATTTAAAGGCCCCCCTCGGTTGAAATCGCGTTCCGGGGGGACCGGTATTTCGGCTGGGCCCCCCTCTGGTCTAGTGCCGGGTAGGCCCGTGCGTTAATCCGTCCCTGTGTGCATGTACAATGAAATTCGAAGACAGAAAACGACGTTGGGTTGTATTGGACTCACATCAGCATGTTTGAACATCTCATGCATGTTGATGCCCTCTGTGTTGAGCACCATCTGTTTTTTGCCCTCCTTTATGGTGACTTCATTTAACAAGCAGCGCGTGATACCCTTGGTCTCCATGATGACAGCGTTCTGAGCCTGCTTCACCACCACTGACGTGAGGTCAAAGTGCACTTTAGTGAGGGGTAGGACCATAGTTAGCTGTCAAACAGAAGCAGCAATGCATTATGGATATGAATGCACCGATACCATTTGCTGTAAAAACACAGCTTTGGTTCCATATGGATACTTGTTTGACTAATGTTTTTTTTTTTTATTACATTACACACACATAAATATATATGCACTACCATTCAAAATTTTGGTGTGGGGAAGATTTTATAAATGTTTTTGAAAGAAGTCAAAACACGCTCATAGTTAAATATTACCACTATTAAAATAACTTTTCTATTTTAATATATTTTAAAATGTAATTTATTCCTCTGATGACTGAATTTTCACAGCAATTACAGTGTCACTTGATCCTTCTGGAATCATTCTAATATGTTGATTTGGTGCTCAATAAATATTTCTTATCATCAATGTTGAAAACAACTGTGCTGCTTCATATTTTAATGGAAACCTATGATGCATCTTTTCTTTGATTAAATGTTAAAAATAATTAAAAAAAAAATCTTACTGACCCCAAACCTATGAATGGTGATGAAATTCTGAAACTTATTTCACAATTTGTTTAATCGAGTATAGTTCAAATATTAGCAGATTAATGCATCGGACCGATATATTGCTTTATATACACTACCGATTTTTAATGTTTTTTACAGGAGTTTCTTATGCTCATCAAGGCATTTATTTGATCACAAATACAGGAAAAAAATTTCATATTGTGAAATAATTATGATGTAAAATAACGTTTTTCTATTTTAATATACATTAAAATATAATTTATTCCTGTGATGCATAGCTGAATTTTCAGCATCATTACTCCAGTCTTCAGTGTCACATGATCTTCAGAAATCACTCTAATATGCTGATTTATTATCAGTGCTGGAAACCTTTCCTTTTTTTCAGGATTCTTTGATGAATAAAAGGTTAAGAAGAAGAGCATTTATTTAAAATAGAAATCTTTTCTAACAATATACACTACCGTTCAAAAGTTTGGGGTCAGTAAATTTTTATTCTTTCTTTTTTTGAAAGAAATTAAAACCTTTATTCAGCAAGGATGTGTTAAATTGTTAAGTGATAGCAAAGATTTATATTGTTAGAAAAGATTTATATTTTGAATTAATGCTGTTCTTTTTAACTTTTTATTCATCAAAGAATCCTGAAAAAGTATCGCAGTTTCCAAAAAAATATTTGGCAGCACAACTGTTGCCAACATTGATAATTCTAATAATAAATCAGCATATTAGAATGATTTCTGAAGATCATGTGACACTTTATACTGGAGTAATGATGGAAATTCAGCTTTGCGTCACAGAAATAAATTATATTTTAAAGGATATTAATATAGAAACTATTATTTTATATTGCAATAACATTTTGCAAGATTACGTTTTTTTCTGTATTTTTGATCAAATAAATGCAGCCTTGATGAGCAGAAGAGACTTCTTTAAAAAACATTACAAGTCTTACTGATCCCAAACTTTTGAGCGGTAGTGTATATAAATACATATATATATAATTTATATAACTGATCCCATGCTATTTATAAGAGGTATGGTAACACTGCATGGTATTAGAAATTGGTATGCAAACATTTTTATTTTTAATAGCATCAAAGTGTACAAATAGTTTCACTGCATCCCTCAAGAGCATAAAATGTATAAATGAAGAAGAAAATGATACTGATTTAAGATCAACTGATTTGTACACACCTCACACCATAGCCAATTTTTGGTGTCATATTTGTAGTCCTCAATGGCGGAGCTTAACTGAAGCACAGTGCTGATCCTCATGGAGTCCTGTGAAGCTCCCTCGAGCTCTTCAGGAATGACAGGACTCTGAGGCTGGTCTGCTGGTTGGCTTTCACCAGACCCTTCCTCAGAGTTCTCCTGAGAATCTGCCTCTTCCTGTCCGCCCTCGACCACATCCTCCAGTTCCTCATCGATGGCCTCCTCTCCCTCCTCACTCTCATAGTCTACCTGAAGGGTCATATCACAGACACAGGATTTTACTTCCGTGATGCAGAAAACGCAGATGAAATTGTAGAATACAGTCATGAAAGTGGAATTTGCTGTATAAATATCATGGAATTTTGCTAAATTTAGTATGAATAAATCAAAAGCTTGTGCAACAATCAAACTATGATATGGACTACTCTCTAAGAATATTAAACCGCAAAAAGACCAGTCTACATGTTGTGCATGTTTTTGTGTGAATGAGCAGTGCTCATATGCTTGTGGTGATTTCAGCCTCTACTGTCTCACTATATGAGGACATGAACTTCATTTTCATCACTTGACCAGCATTTCACCATTTCATTTAAATTATCGTCACACACACACACACACACACACACACACACACACACACTCAAAGGTCAAAAAAGTTTGGTTTAACTTGAAGAAATTGTTACAGAAATATATTATTTTTACTATTAAAACAATATTTTTTAAGGAGATCACACATTTTTTCATTCATGTTTTAAACTGTGAACCTCTGTTGTGCAGGACTGAAAGGAATTGTTCAAATTTTATTTTAATACACTTTAAAACAAATGTTTCAGTTTTATGCATATATTTGATTAAAACGTTTTTTGATAATACATTTGTATGAAATCATAAAACACCGAATTTAGAAAAATTTGCCAAAACAGACAACAAATTAAACACTTCATAGCGCACTATTATTGTTAAAAGTTTAATGAATAAAAAGTTTTTTGAGTTCAATTGTTTAGATCATGTTTTTGTTTATTAAAATTTAATTAAACCATTAAAATGGAATGGGAATTTGTGTTATGTCAATGCCAGCTGGACATTCCTGTGAGTTCTTCTTTCTAACAGGCTTCACTCTTCAACACAAACGTACACATAATGGCATGCAAGTGCCATTCACTTGTTCATGTGCTTCTTACAGATTTTATTGGACCACAGAGTTGATACAGAGACGAGGTCCCACTTTATATTAGATGCCCAATAGCAAACTGTGAATCTTAATGTTTGTGAAATTGTTATGTAAAAAGTGTGTCATATATTGAATGTTAATATCTAAGAAATGGCCAGTGTGAAAGCAAAATCACAAATGAGATCTTTGTATCTCAGTTATTTCTCCTAGAAAGAAAGGAGATTACATGGAGAGCAAATGGAGACATTTGTTAAAGTCTAATTCATCTCAGATTTTTCTCCTGAAAGAATTCTTCTAGAGATTCTTAAATAAATAAATAAATAAATAAATAATTTAAATTATATAATAATTGTATAGATCATTACTCTTTTGCCATCTGTTGTCTCATTGGTAATTACAATGAAAACTATTAAAATCATTAAATTTAAACTGCTAAATTAAATAAAATTTGAATACATTATGAATTTGTTTTATTAGATTTTTTATTATGAAAATTAGAATAAAACAAGTTGAAGTACTACATTTATTAAATTGAACTAAAACTAAACAGAAATATAAAACAAACGTATAAAAAATACAAAAAATTAAGCTACTATTAACATGGAAACTGAAAATACAAAAAGCTCATTTAAAATATGAATAAATAAATACTATATTAATAGGTGACCCTGTCTGTGAAATCCAGGCTAAACTCTCAAAATCTAATTATGAGATAACAAGCATCAAATTTTGATTTCAACCATTAAGTTCACTATGATTTCAATCTTTGACATGGCCTTACTCAGTCAATATTAAAGATATAAAGGTTATATTTTCACAGAATATTGTACATGCTTATGAAGGATGATTTTATGTAGAAAACAGTAAATCACAAAAAAATGACTTTAGCTGGGTTCACATTTGGGAAAAACACATTTCAAAGGCCCCTAAATCAGACAAAAGAGAGCTCAATTCGTTGCTCACGCGCTGTTCTCGCACACAATCAAAGCACGCACAAGAGACGTGTTTCAGACAGCGTATACATGCCTGATGCATACACATAAAATTAGCCTGTCAAAAACCCTTCACTGCATTGTCATTCTCTGTGCTTTAAAGATATTTTTTTCTTGCTTATCCGAACAAATAGTCCGATCTTCGATTTTTATGGATTACTTATATGAAGTCTTTATGTACTTTTTGAAGTTTTGGTTGCGTGGACTTGGAATGGAGAGACCAAAAAACCTCAGGTTTCATTAAAAAATATCCTTATTTGTGTTTAGAAAAATCTTTTGGAACAAAATGAGAGTAAATAATGGCAATTTAAATTTTTAGGTGAACTAGTCTTTTAAGTTGCCATATTTGAACACACATGACCATGAATAAGATTTGAGATCTATAGTGGAGAGGAAAAACATTTTACTGAATAACACAGCACACTGTCACAAGTAAACACTGAAACAAGTTGTGCTCACCTCTGACAAACACACACGCGTTATCTTCTTCCGCAGCGTCTTAACACGTTTCAAGGCTTTCTTGTTCATCAGAACTGGAATGCTCATCATGGGGGTTTTGATGTTAGAGCTCGCAACCATGAGTATTTCTCTTAATCTATGGAAGATTTTTTTTAGGTGAATCACAAGAACACAAACAGTAATACGTGAAGTCTGCAGTAGTTTCCATTAACATTTAACTTTTTTAATGAAGGAGAGAGCTCAATGGCATATTAGGTTTTGATTTAGCATTTGTACAGAGAATCATTCAATTTTACTGGCATTAGTATCGCTACTAAATGAAACCTGACCTTGGAATACCCAATGTGACATTCATCTCTCCTCTGCCGGCGAAGTGGAAGGTGTTGAGGGTCATTTGGGTGGACGGCTCGCCAATGCTCTGAGCTGCCAGCAGACCCACGGCCTCTCCGGGGTCACACAGAGATCGCTGCCACTTCAGCTGCAGGAGATGCCTCAATCTGTCAGCACACACAGTGAACAAAACACTGATCACAAAATAATAAAGGACATAATTGATCATTCCAATACATGAAACTACATAGTTATTTTATTTCTTTGCTCCAGTGGTTCTCAACCAGGGCCCACAGCAAAAACTTCCAAGGGAGACTCATGATGACTTAAAATTATTAAAAATAAGACAAAACAAGCATTAAAATAAGCTTAAAAAAAAAAAGGTATTTCTTATTTTAATACACAGCTGGAAATCTGAGGTACCCTCATTTTAAAAAACATTTTTATAAAGAATATACATTTTTTTAGTTATGCCAAGCTCTGAAATATTTTATTTTATATATACATATATATATAACTTTTTTTTCAACTGCAAAAATCATGTAAATTCATTCATTCAAAAGAGTGGGATCCCTGAAGAACATTTCAATCACTTATAAAATTTCTGGAATTCTGGAACTTATTTGAATTATAATTATTTTGATTACTTAAAGACATTCCTAGTTTCTGTAAATTAAAAAAAGTTCAGAAAACAAATGTAATTTCAGCATGTGTACCATAGGACACCTATTCGCCTATATTAAATATCATTATTAGGGCCTTTCACACCGCGGGAACCTTTTCATAGTACCAGATTAAATGGTACTGGGAAATAGTTCGCGCAAAATCGTCCCAGTACTTTAGTACTGTACATTTAGTTCTGGAACTAACGCGGTGCGAAAGGCCCTAAAGTGGACAATGAGAACCACTTTAGTCTGACAACAATTTTCCAAATTCAAAATTTAGAAGTCTAGAAATGGCCTTTTAATCCAGATAATAATTTAATGTTGAACAGTCAACAACGAGTCTTACCTATCCGTGTCAATGATTTCAGAGGAGGTCTGAAATTCCTGCTTGACATTGAACTGATCCATGTAGGACTCAACAATGGAGTCAAAGGTCTCAGACACTGAACCAAAGCAGATGTCCGGCCGGTAAAGACCCAGACACGGGTCTGGACAATGAGACGTCTTCTTTAAATACTTCTTATGGCCAGACTCATCCAGAGCTCTCCAATTCTCCAAGAGCTAAATACACAAAATCTCATTGTCATGTAGGTAAAGTGCACAAGTGCAAGTCATACTGCGTTATTTTGAGAATGTCTGGTTAATTTAATCATCTTTCTAACTAAGTACTTTACAGGATGCCATTGTGAGACATTCATAAACTAAAACCCTTTATAAATGCTTCAGTACCTGTAGAGTGGCTGGCTCTCTCCCATTGGCCAGTGTCTGGTCTTCGATTTGAGACTTCAACTTGCTCAGTTTCTTCTGTGAGAAGAGCAGGAAGGCACCGTCTCTGGGTGAAACACGCTCATGTTTGGCTTTCCATCTCTTAATGGCTTTAAAGTGATTAAATGCTGCCTCTGGGTCCATTTTAGCCAGAACTTCATCCAAGCACTTTGACTTTCTGATAACCTAGAAAACAGTGCATTATATAAAATGTTAAATGTCTTCTTCCATCAACGCAACTGTGCACAGACATGTCTACATAATCTTATTGTAATCATGATCACAATTTGTGCTTCTCTCAATTAATCAATCATAATTGTCTGCAACAGTCACCATTATTATTTTTGAGCAAAATACTTCATGCTTAAAGGTCCCCTGAAATGCTTAAAAACACACAGCGTTACTCTGTGTTGACGTCATTTTAGCTGAAACAGCAAGACAGGGCGGGACATATCAAGCAGCCCCGCCCCTTTTTAAAAGAGCCAATAGCGTTAGTTTATATCACAGCTTGGTCTAGCCGTTCAGAGCCGCTGATCTCCGTAAAGCTGCATTTGACCGGGTATGCCAGCCACAATCTCATCCATATTGCTATAAAATATAGCATTCTGTGTAGAATTCAAATAGCTCCGATACATTGTGTGGTCTGCGCCGACTCGTGCATGTGATCCGCTCCGTGCTATCGTGTCTCTGGACCGGAGCAGAGTGTGTGTGCGGTGCGGTGGTTAGC